CGGCCACCGGGGGGCGCTGCGGCCCCGCCGCTCCCGCGCTGCCCCGCGTCGGGGAAATTGTTTTATTGCCAAAGGGCACGGTGTAATGTATTCATCTCCATCCCAGGCAGCCATTTAATGCCCTGAAACATGCCCTCTCACAGCTCTGGCCTGTTGGCTATGCTTATTTGGTGTAATAATTAGCTGAATTTCTCGCTAACAGCGGTACTTACCAACACCTCGCATTTTCCTCTGTGTTTTTGTACGTGATGGATTGTGCATTCTATGAATAAAGTTAAGCGGGTCACAGCCTAAGCCCTGTACAACACTGCTATTTTCTGCACAATAGTTCTGAATAGATATATATTAACTCCTTTTTAATCCCCGTGGTGTGTAATGCGAACCAATTCCAGTGGTTTTGTAATAGGCTATTGAAAACTTGTAAGCACAGAACACTTGGCAGCTTAAAGAACGTAAAAAGAGAAATGGAATGAGGAGCTACAGAAATCAGAGTACAGTATCTTTTACCAATGGCAGGCTTTAGGAGCCTGTTCTAGTGCTTCATGAGGCTTGGTGCAGATCACTGTACTTTGTTCTAGAGGAACAATTCTCATATCCATGTTAAAGGTGATCTCTCTGCTGTCCTGATGTTCAAAGTTGGTCTGCTTGGTATGAAAATACAGGTGGGAATTCTAAGTTAAACGGTACTTGGGTTTTTTTTTTCACTTTCCTAGTTGGAAATTATTTGAATTAAAATTCTTGTGATGGAAATAAAAACAAAAGGTTCCTGAATAAATGCTGCGGGTGGGTATCCTCATCATGGTTCTTTCCAAATGCAAGGGCTGATAAAAGTTAAGGGTTCCAGAAATTATTAAGTAACTGTAAGGTTGTAACTGTTAAGTTTTAACTGACTCTTTTGTCAGTTAAACTCTTAAGTAAAAATTTAATGGAATTATTCTATAATGAATTAGCTCAACTGACAGTGGTTTGAGGCATATTTCATGGAAATGAAACTCATGGAAGTTCAGCTCTGCATGGAGACTATCAAGCCTGTGTCACTAGTTTAGTTGGGAATTGCAGCATATGTAGTGCCAAATGTGGGTCATAAGCTCTTGCAGTTGTCTGTTATTTAATTTTAAAATCCTTCCTTTGAATATTTTTTTTAAATCCTACGTTGTTCTCTTTTTTTTTTTCATTCAGCCTTCTTCAATTCTAGGTACTGCTAAAGCAATTCCATTGTAGAAGGGGGAGTAATACAGCATGTTAAGCCAGCAAATAAGAACAAAGGTGGGTCTGGCAGCTTTCTCTTAATGTCAGTTTCTTGCCCTCAGCCTCCCTTATTAATGCAGCTGAACTGCTGTCACTCAGATGGTTTTAACACAGACACGCAGGCTACGTGCCTGAAAGAGTGGCCTAGATTTTTGAATTTCCAGATTGAGAATACCCCAACATACAAAACCACTGTATCAAATTATAAAATGGTTGACTCCAGTCCTTGTAGACATTCTGAAGGAAGTGAAATTTATTTATTGTTGTCTTTGACATATCCTCTAAGGAAGCAGGAGAGTTTAGATTTTAAAGTGTCTGCAGTACTTTCAGTTGATGGAGACTTTCCTGTGTGCCTTTAAATTTATGATAGTTCAGAACAATCCTTGTCTTTGTCAAGTTGTACTTCCACATTAGGATTATTGTTTGTGTGCTTGTATCTCTTTGTATAAAGGGGTTTTATGTTTTCCATCTGTTCCTTCACTTGTACTAATTTACTGTGGCTTTTTAATAATGTTCTTATATATCATATACAGATATTTACTTAAAAATACAATCAGAAGTTATTTAGTGCTTTTTCTTTATGGGTTATTTCATGGATCCAATTTTGATTGTCATCACACAGTTCATTAAACATGTCTGTACTATCCTATCACCCTGCTACAGCTTTAGTATGTTGTGGATTACTATGGCTACTCCTCTTCTTCTTTTATTTAGACAACCAATCCAAGCCATTCCAGAGTGAGTTAGTACTCTTGGTAGGAATTGTTTATTAAGTGTGGCAGAAGAAGCATGCAGTAGTGTGAGTCTAGTCTATATTTTGTCAACAGAAGGGAGCAAGTAGGGCAAAGGAAAGTTGAAGTGGTTGAAATCTCAAATGGTCTTCTGTGTGCCAGCCTCTCTCTTTTATACCTCCAGAAATCCAGCCTCTATTTAAGAATAGCATGGAGAAGGGATCATTTTGAAAAGATTTCTTATTTCTGTACTACATATTTTGAGAACACAGGAAGAGGTAGCAGCAGGACTATTTAGAATCTTAGATCAGCTAGGAATGTAAATGTATGGGAAGAAAGGACAGACAAGAGTTTCCCCTGAACAAATGTACAAGGAAGACTTAAGAAATAATTTTCATGCATTTCCATTTTAGTTGAGTAGTGCTGCTCTGCAAAATTATACCTGAACATTGCAAATGAGAGGAAGAGTTAACGAGAAATAAGGTCTGCATATGCAAATAATAGAAATGAAAACTGGAAATTAAGTATTGGCCTTTTCATAAGTCAGAATAGTTTTATTAAAACAGCATTATTTGAAAATGTGGGAGTTCTTAAGTTTGCTCAACAATGTATTCTTAAGCAAAACGTTGATTTGCATTATGAAATATGCCTGGGTTTGGCACAAAGAAAATGGCTTAACAGAGATTTAGTTCTTTCACAGCACACCACTGTTCTCCTGTATTTTACCTTTTGGTATACCTTAACATTATTTATATTGTGCAAAGATGGCTTAAGAATAAAATGTGAGTAACCTTTCTTTTAGCTGTGGTTCTTTAACCTTGTGATAGTACTGTGAAATACAGATCCCAACTAACTCCTGTGTTTTTGGATTGTGAGGCAGAAGAGAATTTCTAACACCAAGGTGTCCTGGTTCACTGGCCACTGGTGACTGGAAAAGAGGTTAAGCAAAACCAAACTGAGGAACAAGATGCATCAAACTTTCAGTCACTGTGGCTTTGCTGCCTCCAGTTTGTTTGTTTAGGCTGTATATGCAGAACCTCTTAAAGAAATGTGAATGATTCTTTGAAGTCTGATGGTCTAAACAGTTTGGGAAACACTCATTTAGAAAAACTTCCAAACTTGATATAAGAAAAAATTCCCACGACGGAGGATTCAGGTTTCACAGAGGTGTCTCCTCCAATGCCTAATTATCCTTTCTTTTCAATTGTGCTCCCTGTTTCTGGTCTGAACTTGTCCAACATTTCAGACCCTGAATTTTGCTAATTGTTGCCTGCCAACTTAACATTTAGATGTGAGCTTTCTGTTGCCTGTGTGGCTTATTTCAGAGACTGTGAACAAAACAAAACCTTCAAACTTCAAAATTAACCAAGTCTGAATTATTCATTATCAGGTGTTTCTTTAAATGACTTCTGTTGAAAAAAACTGCTTTTTTCAGCAAACCATATAGCACTATATTTCTTTAATTCATATGCCAAAATTCAATCCAACAGTATTTCATTAATAGCTGTCTTATTATAAAGTTGAGTCAACAGCTGTAATATTTAGGTTCTCTAAGTGAGTATATTCATGATTTGATTGATGGTGTAGTGAATGTGAAATTAGTATGTAATAAATATGAACCAGTGTCTGTGCGTTTATCACACTGGTCACTCTTATAAATTGTAGAATCATAGAATCCCAGGTTGGAAGGGGATCTCAAAGATTGTCTGGTCCAGTTATGTAAAATGTTACAAATTGCACTTCACCTCACTGAATACACTCGTACAAATTTTGTGCACAATGTGATCTCTAACTTTTATGTCCCTTAAAATACATTGTTTAGTGATTCAACTGTATTAACACCACTCTCCTGTGTATTTTCAAAAATGACATGTCAGTTGTGTTGTTTTGGAAAGATGTTGAGAGTGAATTCATTGTGTAATCATTCATTATGATTACACATCAGTGATAGTTACTTTTAAGTTGTTTGGGGGGAAGGAGGGGGAATTCCACAAAGCTTCTGCTCAAGGCCTCCTCTAGGGAGAAATGTTGGAAAGAAAATTTGAGTTTATCATGTCCTTGAAAAGGGCAAAGAACAAAGATGGAGGTGCAGAGGCAAGAAGCACGAGGCAAGGAGTCCAGTGCTGCTTCTACAGCTGAAGCCCAGGGAGCTGGCACAACCCTTCCTTTGGTGCACTTCTTTTGGCAGTGATTTTGTTAATTGTGACACATGCTCTCAAGAATTATCTTGTAAATGCCTCCTTTAAAACACATCAGCTGTATGCCTGGTGAAATGTGACTAACAAAAGAAAAGTATTCCTGGAATACATTTCCTTTTATCTGTAAGGCTTTAAACCATCTTCCTGTCTTTTCATTCTACAGTGAAGAATACAGTTATGCATTCTGCAAATATCTACATATGATGTCTTGGAAGACTGTAAAGGTCTTCAGATTTCACTGAGCTTGTAAGTGCTTTTAGACTTTCATAGTGCTAATAAAATCTCTGGAAAATAATTTGGTTCTGTAAAAAATACCAAGAATCAACAATTTTGTAATGGCCTGCAAAGATGTTCAAATACTGTATAATGGGCATGACAGTTACAGTATGTGAAATTTAATGCTCTAGCTCCTTATTGATCTTCCTTGTAGCTGGTTGCATTGCACATGCATTTGCACTTAACACCTGCTCTTTCTACATTAACACTATCTTCTGCAGCCTCACCAAGGGCACGTTAGAAGCTGCATTTGATGCTAAGCTGAAGTATTTACTTAAATATCTATAATTTTTTCATATCCTTTTTACTTCAGTTTTGACTGCTTTATCTTCTGGCTGATAATTTAACACTTGGAGTTTTTTCCCTTTTTTAAGTGTTCTTATTAGACATTGGTTGTTTCTACCATTACTTATATATAGAGACCAGCAATCCTGCCAGGCTTGTTGTTTTCTGGAAATGATGAAAAGCTGCAAGAAAATTTATTTTATTTTTGATTTTGCTGGTAGTTTTGAAAAACTGTATTAGTGTGACCTGCCAGTGTTTGTATTGGAAAGTTCTTTGTCTATATCTACAGAAGTTACGAGCCTTTTGCAAAGGTTTTGAATCTGCATTTCAAGTTGTCAGTCCTTGGGTTTCTGTCTGGAGGTCCTTGGTCTGTGCCATGGTTGTTGGACAGTGTGTTTGCTCTTACTTTGCTACATTAATTAGATACTGAATCCCAGTGATGTTGGTACAACTTCACAGTGCAGATATGCAATATTTCCCGAAATAATTTGTAGATTCTCTTTTTGTTTCCTTGAGGCCTTCAGGGAGGAGAGAAGGGAAGAGAAGAAACATCCTTCCCTTGAGGGAAGGGAGAAGTGCCATGTCTGCATTATTTTCCATTCTTGAGCGTAATATGCAGCTCCTAAGGCTACAGAGATCTGGTGCTATGTGTCCTGGTAATAGATTTCCATGGAAGTTAGGAACCATCAATATCTTTGTGTCATTAGAGTGTGAGATGAACAGCAACACCAAATGTATCATTGTTTCAACATTAACCCTTGTTAAAGTTTTTATTTTATCTGTCTTTAATCTTTAATGAACTTTTTGTCTGTCAAATAGAGTTGCTTAGTATTTTAGGTACTAGCCAAACCCCATTGGTCTTGGGACTGGGTGTGTAGGGTGTTTTTGCAGAATCAGTTATTAGTAATGGTCACTAAGGTTTCTGTGTGCTGATTCTTTGAAGGTGAGCTGGTTAAGACTTGCTTGATTAAGAAAGCTGGTCTCAGAATCTGTTTGCTATCTTTTAGAAACTATGCAAAGAATGACATGCAGACATGCCTCAGTGTCCTTATTTATTCATGAGGATCACAGCCATGTTGAACTAAACACTATCTTAAGTGTTTTCTTAAGTACATGTGTGATTGTGTGTCCATATGCATAAGAAGAAACTGAAAACTGGAGGTCTGATTAAAATTTGATCATTTCTAAGTTTGAATGTTCTTACTTCTCACCTAATATATAGAGCTGACCCATTTACTAACTGGCTAAGTTGGTAAATAAAATAAACCTGCTGCAAGAGGATGCACACATGCTAGGAGGGAACAAGATGTGGATGATGTTACCAAGATGCTTGCAGTGATGGTAGAAGAAGTTTATTCAGAATTATACAGTGGGACCTTAGGGGTATTTTGTTCACTCAAAGTGTCTGTGTTTGAACTATTTATTGCTTCATATTTTTATTATGATTGCTTACAGTGCTAATCCATGTGTGGCAGATCTACACTCAGCTGGGTAAGGAAATTGCCAGTTCTGTTCCATTAACGGCTGCTGGCCAAAGGAGCAATGTTCCTGTAGGTTAAAACAGCAATTAAGGGGCCCTTAACACTTCAAGGTGGGTAAGGAGGGGATACTGGCAGCAGACATTTTTCACACATTGCTAAGTTGCTTCAGTGCATACATTAACTCTTAGTTCAGTTACATCAGTTGAGCGTGTTGTGCATATGCATGACTGGTCTGTGAGTGTGTGAACCAAAACCTGTGCCTGTTGATTTATGAGAAAGGGTAAGAGAGGTTGAAATTAGTAAGCAAAGCCAAACAGTACCTTTGCAGCAGAGAACATCAAACAGTCTTTGAGACAGCTACTCACAGATGCTGATGTAAGACCTGAGGTCTTCGCATGGCAGTGGGTTGTTCATTACGTAATTTTTTTCATGCCCAGGTCACTTGAACTGCATTTTGTTGGTTCTGTAGCTGGGCCCATTTGTTCAGTAGAAGAACAGGATTCACTGTGGTTATATTAAATAGCAAGTTTAATTTACTGTAGTATAATTAGCAAGTGGATATGAAGGAGGCATGAAATATTGCTAGACCATCATAGATATTTTTAGTATGAGTTTTCATAGAATAATAGTAATAATAATGCATATTTTTGCCCTGAATAGAAAAATGTTTTTACTTATATTAGAGGGGAAAAGTGTGGTACAGTATGGTCATATGTCTACTGGTATTTTTGGGAAGCTGCATTGTAGAATGTGGCACAAAAGGTTTTTGGTAGGTCATGAGTGTAATGAAGAGTAGACTAGCAATATAACGTTTCCATGTCAGTAAACGGTGCTGTAAAATTGACTGGTCCCTCAAGATCTTTTGATGAGTAGAATTTACAGAAATAATTTAAAGAAAAAAAGTTCTGAAATCTTATATATGTGATAATGGAGAAATAAAAGCTGTAACGGTAAATTTCGGATGTACTTTTTATTACTCTAGGTTCATTTCTGACATTACTTATTTTAGTGAACCACTTGAATGATCTTGGTAGCTATGAAGTTTTAATAGCTAACACTTGGAAAGCCTTGTAGTTTAAACAAATATCAACTTTGAAATCACATTCCTTCCTTAAGAAACTATCCCAATTTTATTTTTTATAAAAAACCCTAACACGTGACAGGCTGTTAGGAGGTAATGTTTTGGAAGTTCCTGTAAAATGGTGGCTTTTTTCTTGATGGGGTCTTAGTGCTCTGTCACAAAGTTTTTGCTATATGTTTAATCTTCCTCCTTTATAAAATTATTTATTAAGCATTTAAGAGCACTAGCCCTTTGCTTCATGCAGGATTTGAAAGAAATCCATGTTCTATTAGAGTTGATTTTAAAAAAAGAATGTAAGGCAAACACAGGCCCTAATGGACATTGTTATGTGGGTAAAAAAGATAATAGAGGGGAGGGATATTAGAGAAACCAAAGGTTTGCATCTGAACTGTGATTCAGATGTTTCTTTCATGACATTAGGCTTTCTCAGGCATTCTAAACCTGGTAACCTTTTGGCAAACAAAAGGCTATTGGGAAAAACTGTTGGAGGAGATGATACTTTCTTATGCTTTGGATAGTGGCTCTTTTTTTAAGGTTTATCCCTGAAATTTCTGCAAAAACAGTAGATTGCATTAAAGCCAAAAAAATTCAAGTGTTTTACTAGTTCTGGTCTCAAACAGTCTCAGAAATATAAAAATTGCAGCAGGCAGTTAGGAAACTTTTTAAGATGAAAAAAAAGGGGGAATATTTTAAGAACTTCTGATGAAAGGAGTTGAGGCAGAGGGGCTGTTGTAGGCTGGGAATGGAGATGAGGTTCCAAAGTTGCTGCACCATCCTCTCTGCACCCTCACCTCTTAGCTGTGTTTCTCTTACTTCTCTTGCTCTGTGACATACAAGGTACTGCTTCTGTTTACAGGGAAAATAAATAATTACATTTATAGTGATCGAGAGATTCCAATTTTTAATACTCCACTTGATGAATTTTACAACCGTCTCATTAATAATCCTATTTATTATTAATAAATGAGCAGAGATTAGTGTTTGCAGATTGTTCATTGGCATTTTGTGTTTCTGATCTTCGTTGCAGAGTCACTTAAAATAGCTCCACTAACATTCACAGCAGCCCACATAATAAGTATTTGCAGAGGTTTTTGTCTTTCTGAAGGCCCAAGACGAACACTTAACAAAGTTTCAAAGGAAGTGCAGTGTGTAGTAATGGAGATGATGCACATTAGATTGTTTTTCATGTATTGGCATTGCTAATATCTATAAAAATCACATTGTTTTTTAAATCATAAGAAACATAATCTCAATATCTGAACAAACTGTTACACTGTTGATAATTTTTAAAATTTTTAAAAGTCAGATTTAGAAAAATGCTTTCTAAGAAGCCTGATAGTATCAAGTGAAGGCATTTATTTAGTTTTTACTTAGGGGGTTATGTGTTTGAAGAGCCAATAAGCAATGCTTATGTAATACTGCTTAGACTTTCACATCAGCCAACTGGTAAAGCCAGATACTCAGGGGTTTTTTTACTTTTTGGAGGTATTTGCGAGTAGCTTGATGTTTTTGACATCTGTGTGACAGCTTCTTGCATAAGAGATGAGCAGCATGTACTACCACCCAGCTGTGTGTATTAGTCTGCACATCAAGCTGAAGAGCAGCACTTAGCCAGATCTGACAGTCAAATGTGAACTACTACTACCTATACACAAGAGTGCATTTTAATGTTGTGTGCTTTTTGCCAGGAGCCTGATACTTGACAAAGAAATTGTCAGAATCTCTCTTCTTCCCACTTTTTTTTTCTTTCCAGAGATGTGAATCCATGTTAAAATATTTATTTTTTTTTTCCTTGCAGTTTAATATGGTTTATCTTAAAGATAGCAAAGCCAGTCTAATGTTTTCAGCAATTTCATGTAATAAACTTCTGGCAAGCTTTTGGTATTAGAGGAGTGTATTAATAGAGGAGTTTTAGACAATGCAGGAAATCAGTGTAAAATTACGATCTGCTGAGTTTCACCAGTGACTTCATGTCAACATACCAACAACCTGTCCCCAAAGAAAACTGAGGACATAAAGAAATTATACCACTAGTTCAGAAATGTCAGTGCTGCTCTTTTCAGGCTGCTTCAGAATTGGTGCTCAGCACATTGTGAATGTGGAAATGAGAGCCACCTGCTCTTACTGTAGCTTGACTGATCCATGAACCTTAAAATCCTCCACACTTCCACCTGGCTTTAAGACCCGTCGTCTTTCTCGATGCTTAAATTTGAATAGATGGAATTCATTGTCTCAGAATACATATTTATACTCCATAGTTCAGCTTTCCTTGTTCATGTGTTTGCTATAAGCCAGGAGTTAGTTAATACATGGGATGTTTTCTCTTCATTTTTTAAATAATAGTGCCAAAATAGCGAAGATCTGTTTTGACCTTGTTTTGAACTTGGTTTTGTGAAACTGGTAGTCATACTTTTTTTTTTTTTTTTTTTTTTGCTTACTGTTTCCCTTGGTATAATACCCTAAATATTCTTTTAAAAACATTATTCCATTTCCATCTGGTCTTTCTCTTAGAACATAAAAATATCATTTATTGTGCTAGTGTTTATGTAGTTGAAAATATTGCAATAACAATAAGAATTTGAATCCTGTTATATATTTTAGCATTATGGCAGATACAGTTCTGTGATCTTTGAGTTGCAAGTAAGTTGAAATTTGTTAATGTGCAAAGTTTGTAAAAAAAGCAATTCTTGCAAGCTGAAAGAAAGAAGTAGGAGTTTATTAATTTTCTAGGCCAGAACTTCCACTGTAATAATTTTTACACTGTGGTTAATCTGTACTTATACTGGGTTGGTGTTGATTTAGTCTGTGAGTAGATAAGTGTGAATGAACCTGTCATGGATCAGGATTATTTCATTCCAAAAATTCTGATGGCATGTTTCACACATTTCTTGTCACTTGACAAATCATTAACACAATTAATTGTATAGTACCACAAAAAATCTGTTTTGATTAATAAAAACCTGAAAAATAAGTGTTGGAGACACAGCAGGCTTTCATCTTAGCAATTTATTAGTGATCACATTGACTATTGGTGGAGATGCTCTCAGTCTAAACCAGGAGTAAAAATGGAGTTAAGAGAACAAGGGGACAGAGAAAAGCTGTTTCTACAGGCAGCTGGTTGGTTGTGCACTCCCAACATCAAACTGGATTTATGGCTGTCTCAGGGATGGCAGGTCTTGAGGACGACATTTTAAATATTGTCAGGCTGTGGGGGCTTTGGGGTACAGTAGATTGTGCTTTGCTTTTCTTTCAGCAACTATTTCAGGAAATTAATTTTAGAGTGCCCCCAACATCGGGGCCCATTGTTTTAATGGAGTGGGTAACTGGGCCATTTGATAAAATATGAGCTTTGTACCCATTGGCTGCACAAATTGAACTAAAAAAGAAAATGGAAAGGAAACAAGAAATTAAAGTGTAGTTATAAAGTAGGCATAGGTCTGAAGAACCTAAGGCTGAGATGAATTTTGATCAGTGTAACAAGGACTGGTTATCTAAAAAAGAAGTTGGGAGTAAAATGACTCAAGAGCTCTAAAACTAGCTAAACTGAATTACTGCTTCGTAAGCAGAGAAGTTCCCCTGATTATTTTTTTATTTGTTTTTCCTTATTTAGTTTTCCAGAACTGAAGGTAGTAAGAGAAGTAATTGGACCTGGTTTTGTCATTTAAATGCAACTACTTTTATACTTCTCTGTTTATATCTTAGTTTTTAGTCTAATTTTCTGTTTCAATTTTACCCCTCCAAAACAGAAGAAAAAACTTCTTGAAGAACTTGGGGAGAATAGACTTCCATACCTGACACCAGCCGATGCTGATTTCCACCAGCTGGTAACGTACTTCTTTTAAATCATTTTAAACTAAAATGGCTGTTTGCACTGAACAACAAGTAAATCTTCCTTCAAAGAGACACTGTGGAATCTGATATGAAAAAGGTGTCCTGATAGCTGATAATGCACTTCCAGGTGGTATGAAATAAGATCTTTAGAACTGGGATATTCACAAATGAGAACTTGGTGAACTTTATTTTTATATATGTGCCCTCACTACAAGTAATGTATAACAGTTAATCACAGTTTTTCATGCTTTGTTGAAGCAAAATACGTGTCACCATTATTTTAATTTATTTTTTCTGAGTGGTGAAGAGACCTTTATAGCTCACACTTGGCAAAATAGGGCGAATATTAGCATAGAAATTTCAAGTTTGAGAGGCTTAATTCTACTTTCCAACAATAAGTAATTGCTAATAATTTGCTTACAAATCAAACTGTGGAAACTGGAATGTCTCAAATGAAACCAAGCAGAAGTAATGTCAGTCCCAGTAGCCACGTAAGTAGTAAACCGAGTGAGTGTATGCAAGAATATAATGAATAAAAAGAATTTTCTGCATCTATCTTGGTTGGATCTTTCTAGACCAACTACATGACTCATAGTGGGTTCAGTTAGTTCAAATTGGATCATGGTAAGAATAAAAGCATAAGGAATAACCTGGTTGTTTGAACAGCTCCAGTGACCATGCTCACATTACAGGACACAGGAGTGGTGCCTGCCTTGTGCTGATATATGGCTCTAAGATGGGCAAGTGTAGAAGAGTTGGGAGAATTCATAAGAGCAATACAGATGGATTTTATTATTTCTTTACACAAACATGTTCTTTTCAGTCTTAAATTTAATGCTCATGAAGAAACTCTTCCCCCTTTGAAGAATTGGGCAGCTGGATTTTCTCCTTCCAAGTCCTGTTACATCCCCTCCTGTTCTCTTCCACCTCTGATGCTGCCAAGAGCTGCTGTGCCCAGGATCTTTTTTCTTTTTCACATCTTTGTAAATTCAGCTTCTCATGGAGCTGATGTGAAAAGAGAAGGTGGAACCAAGGTTGCCCAAGTGGCATCTCATTTCCTCAGGGTCAGTAACTCATAAATATAGAAGGCAATGGGAATAAGATAAGCAGTAAAATCACACCTGTTCAATCCTTAATAAAGTTTTGATGCATTCTTTTTGCAAATATAGAATTATACTTTTTTTGTAGTGTGTGTGCATGATAGATATTTTTAAGTATATCTGTTAATCATAAACATCACAAACACCTTTTGAAGTCTGTGGAGGTTATGAAATGTTACTGGAATCACAGCTGTAGAAATTGCAAGTTCCATGATGCTTAAATGCAGTACAGCTGGAGAGAAAAAGAAGGGTGAGAGTATGAAGACAACAAATCAGCAAAGTAAAATATCACATCCAGTTTAGTTTTATAGTCTGTCTTTCCTGGACAGACTTGGCCTACTCCTTGAAGGATCTTCCTCTTACAAAATAGTATTCTTGGAACATGTTGGAAAAGTTAGGTAGGATGCAGCTAAAAAAACTGTCTTATCCTGTTGGGTATGTACAGCCTGAACAGAAGTGAGAAATTCCATCACAAGCAAGACTTTCACTGACATCCTCTTTCAATGTGTTTTTCCTGATAAAGGATTTTGGAAATGGGCCCTAAGCCATAAGCTGAAACAATGTAATGTTTAAAGCCAGTAGGGAACAAGAAAGAGGCTGTAACGAGGTAGTTCACAAATATTTGAAGTACAGACTATCATTTCATGATGCACATGACAGTTTGCTAATCAAGGGTCCTTATTGCTGATTCCTAACTTTATTCTGTCACTCAAGTCCATAGGATGATTCTCTGTGTTGAGTATCATCATCAGAAGTGAAAGCATATTTAAAATCTTGTGTGAAACATTCACAAGAAGATTTGAGCATCAAATGTGTTGTGTTTTTTTCTGTGCTGTAGTTGCCTGTAATGCTGCCACTTCTTTCAGAGTGAGCAGTGAGTTGACCTTTAATACTGGCTGTCAGAGTTACAACACAGAGTACATGATTACTGCCCTTCCCCATCCCCCAAAACAACAGGGTGTCCAGTGTGAACCCAGCAGTCACCCCATGTTCTGATCCTGTAATTCTTTCCTTATGGAGGGCACAGCACAGGCACTGCTTGGGGATTTAAAGAAGACCAGGCTGTTTTCATGTGATGTGTCGGAAATGTGTTTCCACTTCCTGATTTCTTTTGGGATACCTTAATGATAAAATAGTTCTTAAGCATGTGATCTTAAAGCACAACCCAAAGGTAACAGGCCACTGACTTGGCTGGCAGCAAAATGTGCAAGGCATTACCTCTGCAGTTTAGGAGGGGAATACAGTGTTGTTACCTTTGTAAAATCTTTGTTCTTCCCTTCTAGAGCATGTTTTCAGGGATTTAATTGCTTTATGTCATATTGTTATTTCCCTCCTTCTGTTTCTAACAATTGTTTGGAATTTTGTGTGTGTGAATAATGTCATAAATTCAGTGTATTTATATTTTCATATAAATGGTTTAAAAATATATGGTATTAGTGACTGTTTAAATATACCATAATAGCATATGTAATGTGGTATGAGTATGTCCAGTATACACAATTATTTAAAGAAATACTGGGGTACTGCTATAGAACTGTTAAAGCTCTTTCTTTCATACATTTGCATAGTAAAAGAAGTAATGAAGTAATCATCTTTATATGTCACAACATAAAATATTCTGGCATTCTGAAGATTATGAGAGAATATTTATGATTCCCATCAGCCTGTACCTTCACATCTGACTGCAGCCTACAGCTCCAAGTCTTAAATTTACAGTTACTGATTTCACTAGTTGTTTTTAAGGAGTTTTTTCACTATACTATTCAAAGGCTGGAGATACACAGCACTGATGGAAACAAAAGAAGCAGTTCAGGATCTCTAAAGGAATCATTTCAGGCTTTTGACAAGCTCAGATGAATTTAGTTGATCAAGTTTGGATTCACTTCTTTGAATGAAAGCTGTGATCCTGTGTTCTGGAGTTGTAGAGGGACCTTCACACAGATTTGGGACTGTTTTCAAGCTTTGGTGTTTGAAACTAAGCATGAATTGTCAGAAATTATTATCTGTAGGTGCTGTTACAGGGTTTTTTTTCCTCTCTCTAGGAAGCTAGTGTTTGGAACCATAAGAATGTATAAAGAAAAGGAGTTAGCTTCACTGTAAAAATTTCACAAGGAATAGTGGTGAGGTTTATAGATAAACCAAGATTTATTATATGTAATCATTATTTTAAAATAGGCTTCCTTTTATGTTCTCTTTTTTAGTAGAAACAAATGATCTTGTAAAACCAGCTCTTCAGTGTTGTAGGATAACAGTGCATTATGATGCAAAAGTCTGTTTTCATGCAGTGGAAAATGTGCATACTTACTGCCTGCTTTGTGTTTTTTAAGGGCATGTTCTTTGGATTTTAAAATTAATTTCCTGAAAGGCAGGTTCAAATGAGACTTGGAAGTAGATAGTACTAGTAAAGTGGGTTTGAGTTGTACCAGAAGGAGCTCACAGATGGATTGTAGGTCAGTGTGGTGTTTTGTGCCAGTGATTTTTATTTGTCCTTTTAAAAGCACTTTGAACATAAGCTATTAGACTAACAAAAGTTTTGGCAGATCGGTTTTGTACATCCATGTGCTCTTTCCCCATTGCCTAATGCCTTCAGATTTCAGTTTACCTTAATATGTCTCCCCACACCACCATCAGTACCTACCTTTTCTCCAAACTACCAATTAATTTCTGGACAAAAGGAAATAGGTGTGGTGAGTCCTTAGGAGCTTCACAAGTGCTAATTGATGCCTGATACACTCACATTACAGCCCTTCCCTTAGGAGAGCACTAGGGTGCATCTGTTCCTTTTATTTATCTATTAATTTTAATGAAATACATAAGAACTCACTCTTTTAAAGAACTTATTCTCTAGCCTTTGTCTAGTTTGCCAAACAGTCTCAGCAGTAGTTAAAGCAGATTTACAGGCAACCAATAAAAGGTGTGATTATGTGATACTCACTTCCTTAGAAAACCAGATTAACAAAATAAAATTATCCAAGCCTTCCTGGAGTGGGAAGCAGTATTGTGCATACAAAGCAAGAATCTGATGATTAGCAGTGTTATACCTTGCTGGGAGTTGCTGCCTCCACACACTGCTGGATTCTGAACTCCAGCTGATACCAGAACTGGTGTGGTCATAAGAGGATATGAGGAAAAAGAACACCACAGGTAGGGAGCTGGGGAGGAAAATAAGTTTGGACATTTTCTGCTATCAAAAGAGAGCTTTTATATAAAATGAGAGATAATTGGCAGGCACTGAGGAATCTGAAAATAAAAAGCACCAGAATATTAGCAGTGCATTTTTTAAAAAAATGTATGTTTTGGTTTTGTTATTTTTCCACAGAAAAGTGTTATATAAAACTATTTGTGTGTATCATGTAGCCCTCTAGATTTCTATACATCAGAATGAAACAGAAGGATCTTTGCAAAAAGAGGAATCAATTTTTTACTACTTGATATTCTGTTGTTTATATACTTAAAGGTGGCATTATCTGCAGATGCATCAGATGAGCTGTATGTTCTACTGAACTTTTCTAGAGTCTTCTTATTTATTTATTTGGAGATTTTTCTCCTGGTTGAAGCTGCTGGTACATATCCACTTTGTGCAATATACTGAAATATGAAAATACAGTAACAAGTGCTGGCATCTATATCTTCACCACATTCTAGACTCATTCTTGTTAACTTGACTGCTTTGCCTTGTCTTGAAATAATTTGATGCCTGTAAAAAGAATAATTATTTTCTTCTTTTTGTTGTTTGGGTTTTTTCTCCTTTAGTGGAAGACAAAGTATTCCAAGCTGATTTTCAGGAAATCTGATACAGTACCTGCAGAGCTCCATCAAATGGTGCAAGAAAGCTTTCTGACCTTGCGAGAACACAACTGTTTCTTTCAAGATCTTGTAAGGATCAAAGAGAAGGACTTTCTTACTCCAGTGTCTCGAATATTAATTGGAAACCCAGGATGCACTTATAAGTACTTGAACACAAGATTATTTACAGTTCCTTGGCCTGCAGAAGGTTATGATATAAAATATTGCAGTCCACAAATGCATGATGCTTGTAAAGCATTAATGAGACTTAATGACTATTTGCATATTGAAGCGGTCAAGGCATTACAAGGACAGAATTTGTTTGAGACCAAAGAAATTAAAGATACTACTGTAATAGATAGGGAGCAAAGTTTTGCTACTTCTCTTACGGAAGAAGGGTCTGTTTCTAAAGATCAGAGCAGTGTTTGTGTACCAGAGGATGACAGAAGTCTAAAGAACAGAACATCTTATAACTTGACTTTATTGAATTATATGGATCCACTACAAATGCTGTACTTGAAACAAGAACCTTACTTTGGAATGGGGAACATGGCAGTGAGCTGGCACCATGATGAGAGTCTGGTGGAAAGGTCAACAGTGGCTGTGTACAGTTACAGCTGTGAAGGTGAGTGATGGGACTTGACCAGTCACAAGAATATCTGAGATCCCTGAAGCTCTCCTGTGTTCCTTTGTGTGTATGTACACAAGCACATCTAATTCTGGTCTTGAAAACGTGTACAAAATACCTGTGTTTACTGCAGCTGGCTTAGCACTTGTTCTCTAACTAGATTTAAAAATTGGTGTAATTAACTCCCTGACTAAGAGCCAGGATATCAAAATCTGTCAAATACCTTTCTTAGGTTATTGTATGTGCATGTTTTCTATCCTGTAAAATGTTTCACTGTGGTTGGGATCACCATTCTTATAGTGTTATTTATCATATACAGACTCGCTTTGCTTTGTGCTAATTTTACTATTCTTTCTTTGGAAAGATCATTTTCAGTTGGTTTTGGATAGAAGTATTACTGTATTTACTTAGAAATATATGAATTTTGTCTGGGCATGCTGTAGTGTTAATGTGTGTCTTATGGAGGACTTTCCAACATTTCTCTAGCTGGGAAGGGGGGACACTGCATTAACACAACTGTTGTCTGACAGGCCTTGTAGGCTCTTGCTTATTTTAAAACCAATTTCATGCTTTATCTTAGGGGTGGTGGTGGTAAAAGTGGAGTTGAAACATCATTAAATATTTCATTTTTAGTTTAAAGTACCTGTCTCATTTTTTATCTTTATTTAAGAGCAGACATGAGGATTTTTTGTTTGTTTTAAGGAAGAAAACAAACTTGGCTATTTTTTTAATGACTTAGTTTTGCAAACATAAGATTAGAATTTAGACACTTTATTTGAATTTGCAAATGTTCTGTTTCATCATTCACAATTGATTTTTGATTCTTCCAAAAATCCTGTGAATGTTTGCTTTAGAACAGGGGAAGAATTTGCATTGAATTCAGTAGGTTTCAGCTAAAGACTGTGATATAAAAGTAATAGTTTATACTCCCAAATGCATTCTCTTACTGGTTTTGTTATTAGTTTTGAAACTCTGTGTCACTGTTACTTAAGTACAACTGAAGTCATATTATCTACATTTTCCTGGATATAAAACATCAACTGGCTTAGCAAATTGAGTAGAAGAGATTTTCTGACTGGTAAAAGTGTAATTTTCTTCATGAACTTCTTTCTGTCCTCTTTGTCAATGGTATCAAGGTCAAGATGTGTTGAGTTTTTTTCCATTAGTACTGTAGAGAAATATTTTTTCAGTAGGATTTTAAGTTAAAGAAACCTAAACATGAACTAGAAGTAATAATACTGTGTATGGGGATTTATTGTAGTAGGCTAAAATTTTTTTACTTTAACATAAAGTTTGCTTATGGAAGGGGAAAAAAGGAATTTCTTTAAGTTCAGAAAGCTATAAATTAACAAAAATGAAAGCTGCTATGTTTATTCATAACTCGTCAGTTGATTTTGTTTCTTTTATCAGCAAGTTAAATAAGTAAAAATTATGGTACTTTAAAACCACTGCAAATTCTCTAGAAGATTTGATTGATCTGGGTAGAAAGAAATATTTTATATATTTAGGCTAAAACCTATTTTGATATCTATATACAATTAATGTTTTTGCCAAATACAAGGGTTTTTACATAAACACACTTAAAAGTTTGTGGTTTTGTTTCCAAAAAGTTTGGAAATAGACATGAAAACAAAAAAAGCAGGCTCTTTCTAGTAAATAAATTGATTGTTCTATCATTTAAAGGAAAAAACCTAAAAGTCACTACTTGAAATTTTTCAGGTTTTGCATTGCTCAGGTCAGGTTATTGAGCTTTAGAGGGAGTTTCAGGTGCCTGCCATGGCTGTGGAGCATCCTGGAGAGATGTCCTGTAGTCCAGGGTGTGCTTATCACTGTATATTCCTAAAGCAATGACACTGTAAATCCCTAAAGCTTATTCATAAATTGGAGGAAATGGATCCTATTTATAGCTTAGGAATATGGTTTTGTACCTGAAGTGTCAGTAAATATTTGTTTGTATTAAAGTTTTGTACCCAGTGCATCCAAGAGGATTTGATTTTAGAGAATTTTAGAAGTAGATTGTCTTTTTGCTTTTCTGATTTTCTGTTTACAGCCTTTAAATGCTGGTGATTATAAGCTCATCAATGTTTATAATATTATTCTTTCCAGTTCTATATAATGTCATTGTTTTGATGTTTTCTGCAGGTTACAAAGACTTTCAGTATTTCCTATATTACCAGGTCTCCATAACTGTGAAACATGACGATCTTAACATCTTTTTGAAGAATATTGTTATATCATTGTAGAATCATGTCTTGACTTCTTATTTTCCATAAGTATTTAGTTTTTATGCTGACATCTTATATTATTAATTACTCTATTAATTAATTTAGTACTGAATTAGCATTGAATTCTCAGTGTGGTGTAAAAAGACTGTCACAAAATTATTACAGAATACCTAATAAAAACAGTAGATGTGGTCAAAATTTTTTTGTTGGAGGTTTTTTTCCTTAGAAGATGTAGATGAGCTGGATTAGTAATTTTCTGGGAGAAAACACTGATTCTGTGGGAAATGCAAACACAAATTAAGCATGTTGATTTTTGTTGGAACTGGCTTGATTGCCTTTTCTGCCAGGTCTTGCCTGTTTATTTTGCCAGCTCTCAGTTCCTCAGATCCTCACTGGTCTCTGAGGTTCTCCAGCCACTGGAGGTCTGTGGCAGCCTTTGCCTGTGGAAGCTCAGGCTTCCAGGGCTGCATGGCTGGTCCTGATCTGCCCTGCTGCAAATGCAGAATCCCCAGGTTGTGAGAGTTTGAGCAGCAGGAGCCCTTGGAGTCAAGCAGTCTGACTGAGCTCTGTCAGACTGTTTAAGCATGCACAACTCAGTTTATATGGTTTTTTTTTTTACTTTCATTTGCATCTTTATATCAGTATTTATTTTGTACCTGCTTACTGGATTAAATAGCATTCAAACAGATACTACTGTAATTGAAACAACTTGTTTTCTTGTTCATTTGTTCATTGTTTGATGCCATAATGAAAATTTCATGTTTGAAACTTTGATCAGTATTAATTGGAGTAGAAGCAGTTTTCAATATGCCAGAAAAGAAATTTAAACAACAACATAATGATATTGGAACAAGCTGATATTCTAATTGGTATCAGTGTTTATTTTCTTGTTTCCAGTGTAAAACTCTTTCAAAGGAACTTCAAATGAAGGTAAACATTTTGCTTGATGCTTTTACTTACGTTACGTTAGGTTAAGAGTAGGTTGTCAAGTGATGAAAATGGGGCCTCATAAAAATTGGAGAGATTTCCTTTTAGTGTGTATGCTGCATGAAAGTGCATGAGTGGTAATCAGGGTGCATGTGCAGAACTGAATAGGTTGCAGAATGTGTGTTCAATTATACTGCCATTAACAGTATTTGGAATTAATTTACTTTTCAGAATTTATCAAGGAACAGGAATTTTATATTTTGACCAATTCAACATTTTTAATAACACATTATCTTACAAGTATCCTATTGCCTGAAAGCATGAAGGTAAAAGAAATGTTCAGGATTTTAATATAGTAAGCTAATAACCCATATTTATTTCCTTCTGCAGTAATAAAAGTGAATTGCAATTCAGTAGAATAAGAGCATTTTCAAAAATTGCATTTTATTCTAATAAACTAATGACTAGTTTTCCATCAGGTCAGTGTGTTTTGTAGGAAGTTTCATTAGTTAGCAGAGCACAAGTTGGTTCTAAATTGAAAGATGTTCTTTGAAATCGAGACTTGTTTCAGTTGTGAAATTAAACGAGATGGAAAATAATGTAAACATTTGAAGTGTGTCCATCTTTCTCTTAACTGGATTTCCCACAGAGAAAGAGATAAATAAGTAGTTCTCTCTAGATTCTTTACCTGGTTTGTTCTTTATCTAGTTTGTTCTCTTGCTGTAAGGCCAACTCGCTGTTTAACTCTTGAATTTCTACACAACTGGCTGTCTGCTGACAAGGTGATGCGAAAAGGTTTAACAAACTTACTGTTAGTTGCACTGATGACTTATCTTCAAGGGCCTTTTGTGCTTGTTTCTTTTCTAAAATGCTGTTTATATGTTTTTACTCTGTGAAGTTAAAAGCAAAATCCTGGCATGTAGCCTAATGATGGCTGTTTCATTTAATTTGGGATAAAAATAATCGAGATGGACTACAGATGTATGTTTCCCCACCATATTAAACAAATCCTGAAACTACAGAAGTTGTTCAGCACTGAAGTCAATCTCACTTAGTAGCTGACCAGTATCCCTCTTTATGTACTGCTTAATGGGTAAAAGTCATGGAGTAGATGTTTTTTGCAGGATTGGAATAATTTCTAATGCCAATAATATAACAGAATTATTACTTGTTGAAATTACAGAAATGGTATGTAGAAAATGTTATATTACTTTTAAAGAAATAAATGCATGAAAAGGCCACAGCTCTAACTTGTAGGGTCTAACCAGTTAGATTTATGTTCTAAGAGTCAAATTTTTAGTGATCCACCAGCTTTCACAGTAATAGATTAGAATCCCTGTTGTCTAAAAAGAAATCATCGCTTGAATAGACCTTTGTGGGTTATGGTGTTTCTTTTAGACATGTTCTCACTGATCAAATACAGCTTCTTCAGAAATGAAGGGATAACAGAATATTGTTTGTTCTTATTTTAGTGCTTTTGTTCCTGATATATCTGGATACAGCATGCCAAACATGAATTGATAAGAACATCATTGGCAAAATCTTACAAGTTTTGGGTTTTGTGAATCTTAGTTGCAAGAAAAATTTAAATGGTAACAGAATTTAACCTCTGACACTATGGCTTTTCAGCAGTGAAGTAGAGGAAATAACTTGGGGTAGATGCTTCTTCTTTCCCATCAGCTGCTGAGAAGCAAAGCATGTTCTGCTTCTTTCACTTCTTGTATGTAACATATATAAATTGCTATTGAAAGACACTGATAATTTGTGTGTTTGTTTAATTGAGGAACATGTGCCAAATTCTTTTACGTTCTGGGAAAAACATCAATCAATCTGTAAAAAAATAATATAACAGTGATCAGTTGGATTTAATGTTGAAGTAAATGCTTACAGTCCTTGTTCTTAGCAATGTGTTGGCAGTGATTCTGTTGTCTTAAGAAATGGTGTGTAAGGTTACATTTAGGATATAATTTGGCATTACAGTTTGAATTCAATACAGGTCATTTAGGTTTCAGTGCATCAAAAGAAGTCTCAAACTCTGGAAGATTTTGGAGCCAAATAGCAAAGAAACCTTTCAAAGCTACTTTTACTTTCTGTGCTCTGGAGCAATAACCAAAGTAGTTCCAGGAAAACGAGTTTCATATTGTTCTGAACCTAACTCTGACCCAAAGCTGATAAGATCAGATCTAAGTGCTGGAACATCTCTAGAAATTTGAGCTGTCTAGTTAAGAGCATAAGGCTGTGGCCAATTTTCTGCAGCTACATTCTCTCTTTCATGGTTCTACCATAATTACAGGTTTGATGAGGTATTGTTGTTATGTTGTGGGAAGCTTTTTACTTCATTGCACCATTTTATTTGGGATTCCAGCATAAAGGTTTCTTACAGGCCCAAGTCTGTAAACCTCTGCTGACCAGAATTCAAATCTGCACATAGTTTTGTTATATTTCCATTAAATATTTTTATATTTGACTGTTTCTATATGGTTTACTACAAAATAAGTTTGTGTTCTTAAGGTGATGAGTATGTGTTCCATGACTTATTCACATGATTTAGTCTCAAATACTTATGATTTACATGCATCCAAATGTTTTCATTTAAGTGGCAACTGTAATTATATCAATAAATATACAGCATCCAGTCATTCTTGAGGTGTCATAGAGAATTTAATAACGACTTCTTTTTATGTAAAGGTTTGTCTGTGCTACTTGTGGATATACCACAAATGTTAAGGTGTCTATTTTTCCCTTGTTCTCAGTTTCAGGGTAGCTTACATTTAAAAGCAAGTAGCAGCTTGCTTCCATTTGTTACCAAAATAACATGGTAGGAGCAATCAGTTTCAATTGCTGCTGATAATTATAAGGTGAAATAATTGAGAATATAGAGAAAAGGAGACTGTGAGCTGTATTTGAACTCAGTACTTAAGCAATAAAAAATTTATCAAACTGCAAAAAATAAGTCATTTTAACGAGCACATTCCAAAGGTGCTGGATTTATGAGGAGACCCCAGGAAACTTTGATTGAAATTGCTGTCTCTGATTGTAGTTCTATATTTTATTGGTGCCATATTGTGAACAGTGCTGCTGCCAAAGTGAATGGGAAGGCAGCATAACAGAGAGAGTTAACCCAAAAGGTTACTTCTTTTTATAATATCCATGATGTATTGCATTAAAAATGCCTTGAAAGCCATCCTATTTGCAGTTTTCAGAAAACATTTTTCTTAAATTAAGTTACGATTTATCTGAACAGGGTAGAAAATATGAAAGCCCCTTGAAGAGTTTAGTATTGATTTTTCTGAGTGTTTGCTAGCTCTTGTTTTCTCATTTGTGTGCTCCTTGATGGAAGGGCCTAGAGCTGCTGCTGAGCCAGAGCTTCAGTTGGGTGAGAACTGCAGCAGTGAAGAGTGAGAACTTGGGGACTCTAAGAATTTTCACTTAAGAACTTTTAGATTGGCTCTTTAATAGGCTTTGTCTCTCTGCTTCCTGAATTTTGACAACATTTCATTGACATAATAGTTAATAAATTGTCTTAATTTTCTAAAGGCTGCCCCCAGCTAAACAGCCTGCAGTAACCAGGTGAGATAAATGACATGAATATTTTAAAAGTACGAGTTTGTAGTCACACTTTGTGTGTGCCTCTTATAATAAGAGCTATACAACTTTAATATTTTTCTTCTAGAATTAAATTAAGACAAAAGTTTTAAAATTACTACATGAAAGGACATTTCAAGTGGACAGTGAAATGGACACAATTACTAAGTTGTAAGCAAGAATTGGGCATGGTTTGTAGTTAGTTTCAAACTGTTCACTGCTGTTCTGTGCCAACTACTTATTAAAACTTCATCCCTCCTTTGTCAAAATGCAGTTACTTTAGCTGTAAAACTGTTACACCATAGCTCCCAAATACCTTGTTATAAATGCTGACTGTATCTTTCAATTTATACTGCAGTGAAGTAAGCTTATGAAAATAGTTCTGAGGGATTAAGCTCTAAATGCTATTTCTATGCAGTGGATTATTTTTCCCCAAGCTCAACACGTTCATGTTGCATAATGATAAGAAAAGTGTTGTGACAAATGTATTGAAGCTTCATTGGCTCTTGCACATGTTATCTAGCATGTTTGACTAGTAATTTTGAGAAAAGAATGACAGAGATGGCTCCAAGATTTTCTTTGTTGGTCTAGACTGTGTTTTGTAACCATTATTTCACCTTACTTTGTCTCAGTTTATGATTTGGTGAAATTACAAGTATATAAACAAGTGAAATTGTTCATAAAATTCTTTGGCATTTTATGTCTTGAAATTCTTTCAGAAGTTATCTATCATATCAGTGTTGCTGCATTTTTTTATTTTTTATTTCCATGCTTGTAGTTTTAGTAATGAAAAAAATTTAGTGATGTTTAACTAAAACTCCCCTTACATGTGCTGAAGAATTTCAGAAAACCTTGAGTTCATTACCAGCCTTGACTTGATAAGCCTTCACTTGGTAGTTAAGTTAAAGTTTTTTCATCTTGGTAAAGTTGGTTGCAAAAAAATTCTTGATGTCATATGGCTTTTTTTCCCCTTTTACCTATTGCATACTTTTGAATTTGGAGGTGATGATTATAGCAGATGGAGACTATGGACTCTTTAAGCCTATTAAGATTGTACCAATATGGGATATCTTTTAGTCTAAACCGGACTTTGTATTTATGATTCTTCACTGTTCTCTCATTTTTGTGGTCTCTTTCTCTCTCAAGATTCAGCCGTACAAGAAAGCAGTGAGCAAGGATTGAAGGGAAGAGACCCAGCTGTTTGGCATGTTGGCTTGAAGGTAGCATGGGACATAGAGACACCTGGATTGGCAGTACCACTTCACCAAGGAGACATCTACTTGATGCTTGGTAATTTTCAAGGACTAAGAAGTTGGACTTTCTGTTGAAAAAGAGAGAAAATTACACTTACGTTAAAATAAGTTGCCATACTTTCCTATAGTTCCACCTATAGCTGGGACTTTTCTTATTTAGGAAAGCATGAAATCTATCTGGAGTATATAGTAAATTCCTCCTACTCTGCCTAATTCCAGAGTGTTATGGGAAACTTTTTTTTTCTTAATGTTTCTTTCACCTTACAGCTAAGAAAGAGACTTTTTCAGCTTTTCTGTCTGTTGTGCAGTCAGAATTACTAGTCCAAGTTAGGCTTCAGGCCATAACTAGAATTTCCCCAGATCTTGCCAGAAGTTGTGCTGTTATCTGTCCCATTCTATTGTTTCTTTTTGTATTCTTAATGCAGTTTTTCTGAGCATCTCTTAAGTTTAACAAATAAATTTCTGTTCTTCAGCTTGACTTATTAAGTATAGTTATTATTGTATGTAAGATGTGAATGAATGTCATAAAGTTTTCTGGTACCATGGTTCTTGAGGTTTCAATCATTGTGCCAATCTGTGGATATTTCATTAGCCACCAGTTTTACACATGACACTTCTCTCCTTCTGCTACTATGTCTATATTCAAACATGCTGTTTTCTAGTAGTGGGATTATACTAAGATCATAATGAACGCAGCTGTCTTACTCCAAGAATGAGTCTCAATGTCTCAAGCGTAGAGGATTAAAAAAAGAAAATTAAATTGAGTTAATTTGCTTGAGCAGCTGAGCTCATGTGCTAAGGTTTACCCATTGAAAGAAACGAAGCGAGAACTGTTGCTAAGGTTTGTTGGCACAAAATCTGTTTCTTTCTTTTTTGGCTTCTCTTTCTCTTGGTTATCATTTTTTGTTAAAATAAATTTAGTATTAAATCTCACAATAATAAGAGCTAGGCTTCTGACAGCATCATGTTGGCCTGTTTAGCATCTTGGCTTGACAGACATCATCTCTGAAGACTGAGAGCACTTGCAGAGCTCCCTCCTTATGTGTTTATGGTGTGGAAGGCATATTCTGTGGAATGTCCTTAGAATGACTTGTCACACTCCCAACTTTATGGGCAGTCTTGAACTTTACCTTTCACTTATAAACTAAAAACAATAACTTTATAAGCCATCATAAAAACCATGTACCATTCCCTGTTCTTAGTTATCTCATCAAATCTTCTGCACTGTCATCAGGGAAGTGTCGTGTAAAAGTACTGGACTAACTGCTCTGAAGTATGTTCAGACATGGAAAGATCAGGTGTTAGGATGTGAGATCCTTTGGCATCGTGGTCTGGATGTGCCTCCCTTTTTTGTTAGGGTATAAAGTAGAAGCCTAGAGGGAAAGAGGGATGGTGAAAATAAAGTTTAAGTGGCAGCTAAACATTCCTAGAAATTCCTGTTATAGTCTGTTTTTGTGCAATAGCAGTTAGGGCATCAAGTAAACTTCTTATCTAATCCTTCCTGACTGGAAACTTTAAGCATGTAAAGCAATGCTGGCCAACAGATTCAGAAGGTATTTAATAAAAGAAGGAGACTAACTTTAGTATTTTTATTGCAAAATACTGTAGATTGTAGTTGATTGAATTACCAGATCATAAGGGTGTTTTTTATTCCCTAGTGGAATTTATATAGTAACTAAAGTATTTTCAGAGATTCTATATGAAGGGTAGATCAGAAAGTTAGTTTATTTAATGAGTAACATCATGAGCATGTTTAGATGGAAACAAAGGATATATTAAACATTCTTTTGAAGATGATGTGTAAATCATTTTCTTATTAATACTTTTGAAGAGCTACAGATTTGAGCTCTGTAGGCCAGGTGTTTTTTTAATCTCTTCTGCATTTTCATAGTCTTTGTATTTCTTTTCAATTACTTGGAAAAAAAATTACTTTTCTAAATAGTCTTAGAGGGCATTCTCAAAATGGCCCTTTTATTAGGTTTCTTTGTGTAGCAGAACTGCCTTTATAATTTTGAATTAGGGTGAAAGACAATATAAGGAAACATACATAGTTTTAGTGTATTTTTTACTGCTCAGATTTTTTGCACTGACTTTTAAGAGGGGGCATCTTGAGTTTGCCATCTAAAAGACAACGTATGAAAACACTGCAAAAAAAGAAACTTGGCAATAATAATAATAAAAAAAAGATTAATTTCTTGTGTGCTTTTGCAGAAACTCATTTCAGTAAGGAGAGTTCTCTTACTGGCATTATGTTAGAAGCAGTGGCAGAATGCAAGACATCTAGAAAAGGGAGCATGGGAGAGTCCTGCAGCTGGTGGTGGTTCACGTACAGGCACTGGTTGATAGGACTGGGAGGATTGGTTGTGAGCACCACTGACTCATCCACCCTAGCACAAAAGTCAGCTTCTCTTGTAGGTCTGTTCTTGCAGTTTTTTGGAATGGTGTAGTGTTACTGCTTTATAGAATGTTGAAAATGCTGAAACATCACATTCAATATGTTGCTTATAATTTATAAAAGTCAGATCCTATCAATTCCTGTACCTGTAATACCACTAGTATTTCCTGTGGTACACACAAATCTATATAAGAAAGTGTGGTAACTGGATATTTCATACAGTAATGTGTAATTACAGTAACTTGTAAATCAAGATCAATGGGTATAGCAAAGTAACAAAAAAAAACCACCCAGTTTTTTCTTTTTAGCATTTCTAGTAGATGTTTAATAATGTTTCTGTTCCTCTCTTCGTTGGCTTTATAAATGTTTTTGGCTATTCTGGGGAGGAATTTAGTAAAATGTCTTATTGTTTAAATTTGCATTTTCCTTCTCAGCAGCCCTCTTCAGATGAAATAATGAGCCATAATTTAGATATATGTTAATACTAAACATAAGGTGATCACATCCATTCTTCTTTTAAGCTATTACAATAATATGAATGTATTTTTTTAAGAAAAACCAACAAAAACTCAAAATTACTTTCAGTAAGACAGATTTTTTTAAACAATTGTTTTGGCTTTTCTTGATATGAAGAAAAAAGTCTGGTGAATGGCTGCAAGTCTGCTGCCTGAAAATTCAAATCTAAACTTTATATCACTCATGAAACGGAAACACTTTAGCTCAATTTAGAATAATATATTGGTCTGCAGAGGAAGTGCACACTGAACTCTGCTGCCTCAAGTACACAGTCAAGGGGTGTCTAATATGAAACGTGTTGGGTGCATGCAATAAATCCAAAGCGCGTGGAGGTGAGCAAAGGGCCCCATCTGCTCTGTCCTAGAGCATGCTTAACTAGGCTTGTCATGGTCCTACTATTAAATTGGAATTTTTCCCCTAATCTTTGAGTTAGACATGACCAGATTTGCAAGCAGATTTACAATTTTCACTAATTTTCCTACCATGACTTCAAAACATACTTAACAAAAATACATTCTGGACTCTTTCAAAGGCAGATTTACTTTTCTGCAGCTGTTTCCCATAGATCAAGCTCTTGCTTGAAGGTTAGGGTTTTAAAACAGCATGAAGATGAACTTTGAATCTTACACCACTCCCCACCCCCAGCAAATTACAGTTTGAGAAGCATCAAAAAATTATTTTCATAACCAACCAGAAGTAGGTTGCACATATTGCAGAGGTTGGCTCGTGGTAAAAGATAAGTACTTAATGGAAACACTTCCACATGTATATAGTGACTCATTAAACTATTTCTAAGTATTTAATCTGCTTCTATTTTCACAAACTAACTTGAACCCTCTTTGCTCTTTAGCATCTTGAATGTGTTGGAGCTTTTCAGCCCCCTCATTTTTTTGAGTCCACATTTAATTCAAATGGTATATTCCCTACTATTAAGACTTAGAAGTCCAGAAATGTATTTGTCATTACCAAACTTTGATCATGAAGTTTGAAAACTCTGACATATTTCTTCTAAACTCATTATTTTTAGTTTTTAGACTTTTAATTAATTCTGTTTTATTTGTGCATTGTTTTCTTGTTTATGGTAGTTAAGAAAATTAATAGCAAAAGTCCATTTCACTGCTGTTTACAGATTCTTGTGGTGGTTAGAATATGAAAGATTGCCCGTGCTTTAAACACCACTGTTCCTTTTATTTGCCTCTTGAAATAGATAAAAGACAACTGTCTAAAAAGTTCAGGAGGAACACTTTAGAGAAGATAGAACAAACTGTATAAATCTCTTGATAATTCTGGGAGCCATTTTTTGTTGTGGTTTGTGTTTTCCTGGGAAATACCTTACCTCCAGATAGTAAATTTGGGGCCTTTAGCCCCCACTCCTTTAAGGATTGGCTAAGAATTTCTCATCTTTCTACCTTTTATTTGTTATGTTGCAACATTCTGCAGGGACATGGATGTAGAGTCATTGTTGTTCTCAAAGAGCTTGGCTCCTCAGCTCACTAATAATTAGTTCAGTAATAGAATGAGAATTAAGTGTATGTATTTTATTTCAGTGTTTGTACATAGACATGTCCATTAGTCTGTTTTTTTGATAAAGGCTGTGTAAGCACAGGGCTATCAGTGCTGCTGGTAGAGCCCAGGTAATTCAGCTGTCAGAAGAAAGCCCAGAGTGGACAGAGCAGGGGCAGGGACTGAGAACAGGATCAGAGAAGAGGGAGGAACTGTCAGTAGTTTGAAGGAGATGAGAGGACTGTGCTGAGGTTCTGTGATGGAGGGATGTCTTTTTGGAAAACAAGAGACATAAAACCCCAGATGTCAGTACAGTGCAGGGAGAGACAGATCTCTCTTGGGAACTTGTCTCCACAATTAAAAATTGAATATGCAACATGCAGATTCCAAAATGTATTTGCTATCTGTAAATAGCAGGAAAATCACTGAGAAGTTTTACTGGTAGAGGGGTCCTACATAGAGAACAGTAGCCTATGTTCTATACTGTAGAGTTTTTGTTTTGCAAACCTCACAGGTCAGTGCTTAGTCATGTAAAACTGAGGCTGACTCCTTAAGAGTTGTTTTTTACTGAACCCCACAAGAGCACTATGGTACTTCCAACATGGGTGACCAAGGAATGAAACACCTTTGGTTTGGCTCTAAAACCAAAATAGTATGCTGGGTGTAATGTTCTGTATCCAAATAAAAGCTTTTCATGCCAGATGGACAACAGCCAATTTAACAAAGAGTGATTTTTCTTTTCAGTTAATATATATATTTAGGTGGAAAAGAAAGCATATCTTTGCCACAGTCTTTTAAGACCAAAAATGTATTTTTTTAATATGCTTTGGGGCATGCAGTCAATGAAGGTTCAATTATTTTTGTGCAATTAGAGTTTTAGATTAATTGTAAACTCTTAAAATTACAGGCTTCTTTCTGAGATTCATGAAAGATTAGAGACAGTTGGAAGCAAATCCAAGGTGGAGTTCTACAATGAAAGATTTGCCAAGGGTTTGAATAAAGGTGCAAATCAAAATGTACTAAGTCTAACTCTGTGTTTGCTACATACAACCACAAAGAATGGACACTGTGAAAGGGGTAGTGGAAGTGTTTAGGTTTGTTTTCTGACGCAATTCTTGAAAGTGATTGTGGTATTTAAATATTGTGATGTCCAGAGATGATAGTATTCTATGGCCCTTGCAAGACTGGGGTCTGTGCAGTTTACCTCATATGTGTCTATAGGAAATAGTTTTTTCTTAAATTATTTTTTTTTGTTTTGTTTTGTAGCATTTTTTTGAGAACTTTCAGTATTTTTTAGTGATTTTAGGGAAAGAGATTGTAACCTCCAAGTTGTCTGTTTAGTCTCCCCAGCATTCTAGACTCAGTAGTCTCCTCAAGCTTTGGAGGAATTAATTTGTTTTGTTGAACTTTCCCTATAAGAGGTGGGAAAATGCCACTTCTAACTGTATAGGAGAAAACCAGTGTAAGTAGAAATATTTTTGACTCCAGGATAGTGAGTAGTTATTGTGCTCTGCAAAACGTTGGAGCTATGTGACTGAATTCTCTAAGCGTTAAAGCAAGAAAAGTAGTGTACTTAATAATAATCATATTCAACCAGATTAACTTTTATTAAGTATAATTTTTTCCTGTACTTAAGGTTTTCTAATCTGTCCCTAGATGATCTCAATATGACACATCAGCACTGTGTTCTGGCTGGTTTATCACCTCGGTTCAGCTCAACTCACAGGGTGGCAGATGTAAGTATCAAAAACGTTTCACTGTTTGGTCCCTGGTAAAACCAATATCCTGGTGCCGTATGTGCAGCACCATGGTGTCTTACCAGAATTGTGGTTCATATTATGATTATGATCAAACTATTTTCATTAACACCTGCTGTTTATTTTTGATGGAGGTACACTCGGTTCTGTATTAGTAGTTGGCCTTAACTCCCAGGTAGGCTTATCAGATGTGAATTGAGAATGTGCTGCGCCACACCTCATGGATTGCTGATGAAATGTAGTTGAGAAATACAGATTTTCTGAAGTGGCTATTTGAGTTTTTATTGTATCTTTGTAGTCTTCAAGAGGAACACTGGAATACATACTTGGACAGTGTGAACTGGCACTCCAGAATTTACAGACAGATTCTGATTCAGCAGCTTGGTCTTTGAAATCACTGGAAGCTGCAGTGGTGAAGCAAGTGGAAGAAATACATAATGAGGTGAGATGATCTGCACTGACAGTACTTCAGCCAGGTCTGAGCAGTACAGTCTCCTCATGGAGTTAATGGCAGTTAAGTGTGTTCAGCTGCTTATGAGGCATTTCTTTGTACGAGTTTGCAATGTGGCTTTTATGACTTTTTTACTTGGGTACAGGAATTTGGATTATTGTGGAATTAGATTATTTCCCTTCTTAAGATCCCTCTGCTGGTAAAGTAGGAGAGGTTTCACAAAATACTACACCAGAACTGACTGTGATGGTCAAACAGACTACTCTAGCAGTTCTTTAACAAAAAGGAAGAGGGAGAAGGGATTAGAGGATTAGAGGGAAAGGAGCAGGTAAATTTTTTCAGTTATTAATCCCTGGTTTTTGTTGAATCAGGTTTTTACATAACGCCATGGGTGGCACAATTGTGATTGTGGGCTCTAAAGTATGTTCTGAAGAAAATACAGTGGAAATAATTGTGAAGAACATAATTAAGCGGGTCGTTTAGTGATACAAAAGATGTAAGTGTATAAATGCACTTTGACAGGATTCCACTGAATCCTGGCAGTGCTTTCTTGCTTGGAGCTGTGCTCTATTTCTACTAAGATAAATTAGAAGTACATAGGTCATTTGCCTTCAAATTAGGATTCATGTAAAATGTTTAAATTGCTGTCTGCTGAGCAATATAATATTGTGTAGTGCTACTAAAACTTTGTAGAATGCATTTTTATCTGTATTGTGTTTACAGCTGGTAAAATGGAGCATAGTGTTGGTGAAAGATTTGCGCCCTTGACTTTTACCAAAACAGCTCCTAGGGCAATTTAAAGAAGTCTGATGCATGCAGGGGCTTACAAAACATTAATCAGGCTCAGTCCATAAAACTACACGCATATGTGGTTTGCACAGCAAGGGCCACAGGCACAGCTGGTGTAAATTTGCACGGGTCCTTTAACATCAAAGCCATGTGCTGTTTACATCAGGTGAGAGAGTAGCCCCTGGTGTTTGCAGTCACCTGAATAATTTTGCAATGTGACATACAGGGATGTTTCCTGTTACACATATGGGATATACTGTAACAGCAGCCCTTGTTTAACTTGTACATATTGTGCACTTAGTAGACACACTGATCTATATTTAATTCTTAATAAAGAAAAGAGACTGCCCATCCACCTATTTTACTATTCTTTTAATTTTTTTTCTTAATTTTTTATCCCAAGGTCAAATCTTCACTTTCTATTTGAGTGCTACTTAACTTTCATTTATTGCTGCACAAGTAGACACAATTTCTGGAGGCTTATCTCCATGGTAAATGCCTATTTCTTTTTCAAACATCACTGAGCTGAAAACATAAAGACCTGTGAAGCTAATGCAGCTTTTCTTGCATATAAAAGCTTCCTACCTTCTTGTATGAGAAATCTTTGTCCTTTCAGGCACTAATACAGGTTTTAGGTTCAAACTTTATCAAGCAGGTGGAAGAGCAAGAGACTGTTTTGTTTCTTTAAAGAATCAAACTGCTTACTGATGAAAATGAGCCTTTCATTTCACTCTCTTAGTTTACTAGCAATTTTTAATGCAAAATCAAAATAATAACTAAAATACAATTCTCTACAGGATTGATGGAGAGCTGCCACCCAGTTTCCCAGTTTTGCCTGTGTATTTCTGATAAACAGCTTTCTGTGCTATTCATGAAGCTCCTTGCAATTCTTTTCCTCTTCCTCTCAACCAGAGATCATGAGCTTGAAATGATGCAGTATCTAGAGGTGATGATGTTGTATTTTATTTTTAAATATTGTCATAACTGAAGTTCTTCAGTTTTAACTTATAACTAGATGCAGCCATTCTTTTTGGTTCATCTTCCTGAAATGCTATGGGTTCATTCTTTTTACCCCCTTACTGCTACCTCCAAAGTGATCATCAGAGAACATTAACCAGAACAGAACCATCACAGTACCGAGCTAAAATACACTAGTTTAGCAGATTCGCAGTCTGTGCTGAAATGAACTGCTCTGCCAAATGAGGCCTGGATGAATTATCTGTATCTGCTCAAGGGAAAAAGCCTAAGAGCGGGTCTGAAAGAATGAGGAATGATTCTGTGCCTTCGCTTTTGTACTCCTGGGCAGGAAAATTGACTTGCTTTGCTGATAAAGTGTGTTTGAACTGAGGATCTGAAGCATAGGTGGATACTTAATTTTTTTCCAGTTTTGTGGTGGGCAGAGAAATCTCTAAAAGAGTATGTGTGGGGGGTGTCTTTGCTAGATTTCCCAGAGTTCATTTGTCAGGACCCTGTCTTGGATGTCTTGACAGAGATATTCCTGTTTAAAAAGTAAGATGCTAACCTGAGGAGGATTTAAGCATCTTTAGTGGACAGCCAGGTGGAAGTTTAATATTTCTTTAAACCTAGCTTTGTTGTCATGGTCTCCCTCACTAAAACAGCCTTCAAAGGAATATCTGAGTAATTGCAAGGTGTGTGCTGTGTGTTAGATGTGTGAGTCACTTCGCTAGCAGTGTGTACTTTGTAGTTGTAAGTAAAGATAACCTTAATTAAGGGTGTTCACAGGCAGTTTGTCTGTGTAGCTTATGGCCTTGCAGTCTGAACAAATCCTTCAGTGGCAGAGGTGTAGAATGGTGAACAGATGTAGTTACCTGGCAGCTCTGGAGTACAATAGCCTGTACAATCGCCTGTGCAAGTGCAATAGACTATACTCGCACACAGTCACAATCAGATTGTTGTTTGGTCAGGAATAATTTATCCTAAAAGAAATTATCTTGTACAATTCTCTGAATGGAAATGTCTTGCTCCTACCACTACTTTTCTCCTGCTTGGCTTTCCTAAACATACCCAGCTGCTGAGTACATCCCGAACAGAGCTACAGGGCACCTGGCGAAAACCCCTAAATTCTTTTTAAAGAAACTAAATACTGCTGGACAGATCATGTAAATACTCATACATATAAAAATAAATTGGCAGAAAAGATCTTCACCAGCCAGTTCCTCACATTTCAAAACAAATTTTCTTGCTCTGACTATATGCAAAATCTGCTAATAGTTCATGTTGTGTGAGGTCCTTTCAAGGTTTCTGTATTTGCCAGCACCAAACTAATATTCAGATGTTCTCAGTGTAGTAAAACACCAGAGGAAGTCATGGGATTGTGTTGAAAATGTGGCAGGTTTCAACCTAAGTCCTGAAGTTTGAAAGGTAGGGGTTTGTTCACATCAGGGTGTTTGCTCAGCTGTGATAATCTGATCCTGATTACCATAATTTAAGCTAAGACTGAATTAGGTGCCCTGTTGCTTGTGAGGTACAGTCACTTTTGCCTATAGCAAATGTTTTTATGGCAGCAGTAGATAAATTGAGCTTGGAGAACGCCTGGGGAGGTAGAAAGGCTGGGCTAGCTGAGTTGAAGGGATGTGGTGTTAGGCACTGAGGTCATGGATGGGAAAGGGAGAGTTGTAGGCAGCCAAAGGAAGGTTAATATGTTTTAGCACGTTACAGTGAGCTGACAGCATGGTTGGTGGCTGGCTAGTATGGCAGAGAGAAAATATAGATCACCTTCATGTGTGGCATTTAGTAATCAGTACTTTTAAATAATTGGCTGAGGAGCATTGCCTTACAAAATGTCAAATGCTACTGTTGGCCTTTTGCTACCCAGTATTGACAGTAAACCTAAAAATGGCCTTTAATCATTGCTTAAAAGACAACTTGAAAATATGTTGAAATTAAACATATGAGGCCTGATTCTGAACTTACTTGCACAGATGTAAGTCATAAGTGAAAATCAATTATAAGATGAAAATTTTTCCTCAGACACTCAGCCTATATATTTTTATATGTAAATATGTTTAAGCTGTGTCCTCTTCAGTCATGTAAAATACTTTCTAATGATAACTAAAGTTAGTTCCTCATGTATGGGAGTCTCCAAATTAAAGCTGACAAAATTATAAGAAAGAGCTACTAACTTGAGATTTTTGTCACAGAAGATGAATGTTCTCTAACTTCCATTCCAATAAGGGTAGAAATGAGCTTTTTGTCTCTCTTTCAGTATTGAGTTTTGAGGTTTTTTACTGGCACAGCTTCTCCTGTGCATGGAAGGAGACAAGCCAGGAGGAGCGAGTTCCTGCTACAGAAAAAAGTTACTACAGAAGAGAAATCATGTCACCCTTGCTCCATCAAGATAATTTTTTCTCAGAATCAACAGTTATCTGTTCAGAGGTCATAGTTCAGAGCAGACACTTGTCAAGCAGCTTGGTGGCCACCTTGGAGGGTGAAACATTGTTTTTGTCCCCAAGACCAATTTATTAACCCAGGTTAGAGCTAAACAGAGATGCTGTGAAATGAATGCAGAGCAGTTTGATAGCTGTGTGAGACACCAATCCACATCATTAAACAGCCTCTTGTTGCAATTAGGTGCACACTGACCTCTGATAAGACCAGCTAATCCTGCAGAAAATGAATTAGCTTGTTGCAAAAGTTTGTCTTAGACCTAAAAAGCGACTCTTTTATGTCAAATTATATATATTTTGTATGGGATTTAAATCTTGGCCAATATGCCAGACTGCAATTAGAGTGAAATTACATAGATTATTGCAACAAATCAATATGATTAGGAAAAAATCAGATTGACTGAAATAGATCTATGATGAGTCATATTTTAACATTGATTTTAATAAAAATAATTTTTTTTCATTGATTAATGGCCCCATGATTAATGTCATGGAACCAGTTTGTCAGGCATCACATGGTAGAGGCCAAAAAACTGAAAAAGTAGGGAAGGAAAAAAAAGAGTTCTTAGAATTCTAATTGAATGATATGAATTGAATGATATGCTCAGCTATCCCAAAGCAGTCAGGATTTTTTAAACATTTTAAGATCTGTATCTGCCAACTAATGTTATATTTTACTAACAAATTTGCTTTAATATTCTTTTTATACTATTTTTTTTTTTTGTAATCTTAAATGTATTGACCAAACATTTAGTTAATGTTAACTGGACCACGTTCAGATGTCTGTACTGTTCAGTTTTCGCTTGCAGGAAAGAGAGTGTTAGATGACAGCTTTGGGCAGTTTGCTTTATTCTTTCACCTTGGTAGGTTGTCTTTGTTTGCATCTTCAGAGTTGAGCAGGGCTAAACAAATCTTCTTTGTGGTACAAATAATGATTAAAGCAGCTTTGAACTCAGTGTGAAACATAACTTCCACAACAAAGTTAGATACGGAGTTCTAAAGACGAGAACTATGGATTAATCTTAAAGAAAAGCACATCTCTGGTAACTGGGCTGTCTGGTGAAGGATGAGAGGCTATGATTCCTTGTGTGCCACCCTCTCATCCCATAGCAACTGGGCTACATTACTACTGCAAACTTTTTTCAATCTTCTATGACTGAAACAATTTGAAATCCACAGTGTTAATCACAATAAGCCAGAGTTGGCACATATTTGACTGGAATTTTTAATGTTTGTTGTACATGTACGCCATGTAAAAAACAGGGGGAAAAGAGAGTTTTGCACCTCTCTGTGTTTGAATAGAGTAGCTCAGGTCACAGATGGATGTGGAATATAAATAAACAGCTGGGTGTAAGGGTGTGTTTTGAAATGACCTGCTTTAGTAACTGTCTCCTTTTCTGTGGGACTGTTCAGGTGTAGCTGGATTCTTGCATTACCCCATTCCTGCCCCAGATAAGGACTGCGGATATTTATGGTGCCATATGCTTTTATCTTGCAGGTTGAGTTTGAGTGGCTTAGGCAGTTTTGGTTCCAAGGCAAGAGGTATTTGAAGTGCACTGATTGGTGGCTTAAGCCTATGGCTAAACTGGAAGAATTTTGGAGAAAACTGGAGATTATGGTAAGTACTAGTTTTAAAGTCTAAAGCCTCTAGGGCTTAATTCTGAGAGCAGTCACAATTATGTTTTTAATTGTACTGTAGTAATGGGTTTTAGACTTTATTCAGAACATATGAGAAGCAGAATCAATGTCAGCCTTTCACTGTCTCCTCTTACTTTTATCCCCCAGTAGCCAGAAAAAATGTGAGGACAATCAGATCCAAAACCCCAGGATTTTAGTTAGTTCTTGACTTTGCTTGTTTTTAAAGTTTGAAAGCCTCATAAAAGCCTCATATGAGCCTTTTCAAGCCTCACAAGATGACAGCCATATATTACACCACACAAATGCTATGTGTTGTCAGCTTTTTTGTACAACACCCAGACAGACAGCTCTGCTAATGACGGCAGTGGTGCACGTGTCTGAGGAAAGCTGAGAACAAAATTGGTGATCTGGAAGTAACAACTGTCTGTGGTTCACCTGCACACTTAAACCATAGCCAGAACCTGCAAGAGGGGATTATATCAAGAGTAAATGTAATAATGATTTCTGGACACTTTAAAGTACATTGTGCATTCCTTGAAAAGGGATCCAGTGCCAAACACTGTTATCCTGTTACTGCTGCTGCTGTCTACATAGAGCCTCAGGTGAGAGCCTGTGCTGTCAAAGTTTGAGAGCAGTTGCTAGGGTGACTGTTTCTGGATTTGCACTCTGAAGGGGCTGTGCTGGCAAACCCGTTGTTCTCCTCTCCATCCGTCTGCATCAGAAGCTGCTTCTTGGTCATTCCTGCTGGCCACAGCATAAATGAGCCTCAGTTTGCCTGTACTGGCTTGGAAGAGTTGGTACTGTGGCTGAGGGTTCTGAGTATGGTTTGTACCAGGGGTGTGTTTGAGGCTCTGGAGATGTGGTGCAACGAGAACGTGCTCTTGAGTCTCACAGGAAATATTGGGACTCAGCTGCTCAAATGATTTGTGAGCTTCCCCAGCAGTGGCTGATTTCAGACTTGGAAAACACGCCTGGAAAAGTGGGCATTTCAATTGTGGAATTAGTTGCCACAGGAAATCAGTGAATATGGAATTTTCCTACGAAAGGAGAGAAAATATAACTTACTTATGTGTTTGGGGTTTTTCCCCCTCATTTTTGTGTTCTTGTGTGCTCACATTCTTGAATGACCCTTATAATTTAAAAAAAAATCTTTTGGTTTGTTTTTCTTTCAAATGACAACTTACTCTCTTGTAACACAGGCTTAGATGAGGTAGAGACAAGAATGTTTGATATTTCATATCCATTGTGTGTTGAAAACATGGAAAAACAGCAAACTCTGGAACTCTCAAGGGTTAGGTTTTCTGCAATCGGTGTGACACTGCCATGTGTCTCTAATTAGAAACATGGTGGCGTCAGTGTATCTCCTTTCAACAGGCCTGGGGATGATATTTATCAGCAAACCCAAGCTTGGGCCAAGACAGAAGCTGCTTCTAATTTATATTTTAAGAATCGCTTTAATGTTTTATGACTTATAACATATTAATCACAATTAATTTCAGCTATTGGAGGAGACAGAAGAGAATGTTAATTGAGAATGCCTGTTTTGCTGAGTCTCTAGGTAAATTTGATGCTCGCTGTGTTCAGGCCTGGCGCTGGTTTTGGGGACAGACCCCGCGTTTTGCGCTGCGGCGCTCGCAGGGGCCGCTGGGGGGCAATGTTGAGCTGCGGCTGCAATGTGGCCCGACTGATGTGGCCCTGGAAATGCGGCTTTGCCATCGGGATTCATCCCTGGAAATGCAGCGTTACCGTCGGGATTCATCCCTGGAAATGCAGCGTTACCATCATTGGGAGACATCCCTGGAAATGCAGCGTTACCGTCGGGATTCATCCCTGGAAATGCGGCTTTGCCATCGGGATTCATCCCTGGAAATGCAGCGTTACCGTCGGGATTCATCCCTGGAAATGCAGCGTTACCATTGGGAGACATCCCTGGAAATGCAGCGTTACCATCGGGAGACATCCCTGGAAATGCAGCGTTACCGTAGGGATTCATCCCTGGAAACGTGGCATTACCATCAGGCACCATCCCTGGAAACACAGCATTACCATCGGGATTCATCCCTGGGAATCCGGTGTTACCATCGGGATTCATCCCTGGAAATGTGGTGTTACCGCCAGGCACCATCCCTGGGAATCCGGTGTTACCATCAGGATTCATCCCTGGAAACCCAACGTTACTGTTGGGAGCCATCCCTGGCCAGGGGAATCATCCTGCCGTCCTTCCCAGCTAGCCCTGGTCTTTGAGATTCTAAAGCACAGGAAATCTATTGTGGGCTAATAAATCCAGCAGCATTTAACATAAAAAGTTTGGTGTTTTGGTCATGCTTAGCTTCCACAGCTAAGTTAAATTAAAAGGATGTTTTTGAAGGTACCCAATAGTTTGCAGTCAATGGGTTTTTTTCCCTCCAAATTTATGATTTTAGCTGGGTGATTCTTTTTTTTAAAAAAAGAAAGTAATGTAAAATGCTAAAAGTAAAAATGTCTTAGAATTGTTAGTCTTGTTTTGGAAGATCTTAAAAGAAAATACTTAAGCAAAATTCTGTGTGTGAGCTGAACGACTGTTGATGTAGTGTTTTTGTACATGTGTCTAGAGTGATACAAAAGTCAGTCTCGGGGACCTTCTGTGTCTTTTTTTTAGGTTTTCCCCTTGTTTAATAAAGCAGCTATAAAGAATAAAAGAAAGTTTCAAAAATGATCTTTGATTCTGCTAATTGTAGCTACTCTTCTGTCACGGCAGAGTATCATATTGCAGGAAGTTTAGCCCAGTGTCTTCAAACCTGTGGGCTTTATTTAATATTTTTGTACTTTATAGCAAGCACACAATTTTATCATAATGTTTATTCCTGGCATTTCTTTCCCTGAGGATAGTTTTACTTAGAGCTCACTCTTGTGATGTAAATGTTAAACCTTTCATTTGAATGACATTCTGATAAAACATCACATTTCCCACAATATTACCTCATGAATTCATGAGCCATTAAATCCGAAGCAGTTTAACCAATCTTCCTTTTTTTCTCCCCCTCCCTTGAAAATATGAAGGCTATTCATATGTTGGAGGGTTTTTTTTTAAAAGTCATCCAAGATTAACACGTTATCGCCTGCAACATCAGGATAAATGCTTGCAGAATTCAAAGGGAGAGTTACCATTTGAAAAAAGACCATACAGGCTTTGCTTTCTGGGTAAAGAGAAGTCTGAAAAGCTGAAATCTCATGTGATGTGAGCAAGTCTTGCTGTAGCTGTTCCGAGATTCAGCGCAGAGACAATTTGTCTCTCAGGGTCTGATATCATGCAAACCTTGCAATCTGACATTTATTTTAGCTATGAAAATCTGTAACCACCACACCAAATCTGTAAGAACTGCAGAAGTCCAACAGTCTTCTTTTGGTTATTTTGTTTTAGATCGATTCACATGAGAAAAGTAAAATGTAAATCAATAAAATTATTTTTGTTTGTGGAGTGAAAAGTAAACATATATGGCTACACTTACATGTTGAATTTTAGAAGGCTTTTAAAAACATATCTAGTGTTCCTTAAAAAAAAACCAAAAAAGCACCTTTACAGTGCTATATGGTGTGAATTGTATTTCCTGCTTTGACAGTCCATTTAGCAATGTAGCAATGTATTTATATGGCAGTTGGCCTTAATAACCTTTATTGACTTTAGTGGGAAAGAGCCAAGACTGGCATTATTAAAATGTATCAATTTCATTGCAGTATAAAATCACAACATATATAATTATGTTAGGTAGGCTAGGCTCCATTTAATCCCACCTATTTATGCAGGAATTTGGCAAGACGAGAGAGAGCGTGGAACTGAAATGTAGAGAAAAGTGTGAGTGACTTGGAGTTACATTTAACAGCACAACTGTTTGCCTGCAGTGAAGGCACTACTTAAAGGAATGAAACATAGATCTTGAGGAAGTAATTTCTTAATGGGATAACTGAAACACAAGTAGTTGTTGCACCATTTGTTTTCATTTTTTTTGCGTCTTAAAAGAGAGCTGATGATAATGAAATGCAGCACACCTTTTAATTTGTAGTAGTGCAGGAGCACAGGCATGCACACTCGGTTAAGTGGAAGGATCAAAGTGGCATTTCATGCAGACTGGTATCTTCCTGCATAATTTTTGTCTTGATTTGTAAAACTTTTTTAAAACTATCTTTAGTCTTGTTGTTACTGTTATTCTCAATAACAGGCTTTTTATCAGTTTACTCAACTGAATTGAAATCAGAGAGCAAGCCTATTTTATTGTAAAATTATTTTTCTTTCCTTTTTGAGGTCTGTTTCATTATTTGCTCCTATTGCTATATATGAAGTATGTCATAGTTTCAGCTATAAGCCACTATTGTCAGGGGCTTACAGCCTGACAGTTAGAATTGAGTCTACGCTGAAACTTGAGCTACAAAATCTCAGCCCAGAGCCATTTTTTTTCCCCAAATTAAAGCAGGGGTTTAAATATGTATTTAAATCAAGAGCATTTCAGTTCCTGGATAATCATGAAAAGCTCTGAGAAAAAAATATGCTTTTGCAAGGAATTTTCCTAGCTTTTGTAGACTTTTGGCGCTATAAACAACTAACCAATTATTTTTTAAAAAACTAGATAATGGGATCACAAACAGCCTGGTTGGTTGGTTAGCTTCTTTCAGAAATTGCATAGCAACTTAACTGACACTTGAATTGGTTTGACCTTGTCAGCCAAAATTCCAGGAACTCTGAGGTATTATTTTAATTTCTCTTCTGGTTTTCCCGTTGTGCTCAGATATTGCAGTGTCACACTTTATTGGAGGGCCATGTGGCGATGGGTGATGGGATTTGCCTAATGTGCTGTGAAATGTAGGTACAACAAGGCAGCTCAAAGACCCAGATTTTACCCATATTTATTGTCTTTTGGGGCTCTCCTTATCTGTTCAGGCCAGAGCCTTTAAATGTATTTTTGGCAAATTATATTTTACGTACACTGGAAGTCAGATGGTTCTGGA